GCACGGGCCGGCGCACAGTGGCCGGGCAGGGGGCGTTCGCGGGAATTCCCACCAGGTCTCGAGGATCGATGGGGGCGGCGTCGCGGCGGAGTACCGCGACGACCTCAAGCAGCCGTCCGAGAAAGCCGAGCAGGCCCAACAGGGCCACATGCGAACGCACGCCTACGCCCCACGATTTCTGAGGGGGGGAGGTAGGGTTCACTTTGCTCGGGAGCGGCCGAACGAGGTGCACCCCGCCCTCCTCCTCAGAAATCGCGGGTAGGCTTCGCACGTGCCCTCCCAAGGCCGCCGCGAGGATCCTCCGCCAGCTCGGCGCAATCGGCCCTGGCGAGAATTGCCCAGCACGGAGCAACAACCGGCACCATGCAGACGGATGGAGCTGCGGCCTGTAAACGAGTCGCTGGATCGAGCGCGCGCTGCGCGAGATCCGAGGCGAGGGCCGCCAAATGCCAGCGAGCCTCAACACCATGGTCGCTCGAGGCATCGAGGGAATCAGTAAACTCAAGAAGGCCAGCGACAACGACTTGGCGATGGCCAAGGCCAAGGCCGAGCACAAGTCCACCCCTTGCAAGGACCCCACGGCGGCCGAGCCGAAGTGCGCCACCTTCGAGGAGGCAAGCGACGCCGCCCAGCTTTGCACCAAGTGTCTCATGCAAGGACGGCCCCCAAGGATGCCGCGCTTGCATGGGGGAGTGGTTCGACGTCCAGCGCAAGAGAGGTTTCTTGACCAGATCGGCCAAGGACCCCTCTTGCACCGGCAAAGTGCAGGCGCCCGCTCAGCCACGAGCCTCGAGACCTCTCGAGTCAGCCTTGTGCCGCGCGCCTGCTGGCAAGTAGCCGCGAGCCTCGAGATCTCTCGAGTCAGCCTTGCGTCGTGCGCCTGGTTCGTCACGAGCCTCGAGATCTCTCGAGTGAGCTTTGTGCCGACCGCCCAGGATCACCATCATCATCGTCATCATCATCATCACCATCCTCATCATCACATTCATCACCGTCATCATCACCATCATCATCATCATCATCATTTACCTTCCCCGGGAAAATAATTCATAATCTCCGCCATAACCCCGAACCTTATTATCCCCAGGTTTTCACTATCGCCCGAGGAGGGTTGTTGGGATCGCTGGCGAGACCGATCGATAAGAAGATCGACCAAGAACCCAAAAACTTGAGAACCCAGCCGCCCACCGAAATCGGCCCAGAATCCGGAACCAGGAAGCTGGGAACCTGGAGCCGGAAACGCGGGAACCCAGCGCGCGACCAAAATCGGCGGGACATTGTCGCCAAATCTCTCAGCTTCCGCTAGGACCCCTTCTGTGCAAGCACCCGCTGGGGGAATATTGTCAAAAAATAGTGTGGTAACGATTATTCGACTGTTTTGGGCTTTGTTCGAATATTTTGGAAGTGTTTTTTTAATATTTCGTCCACCATCCGCCTGTAGGGGGACATGCCCCGACCTAAGACCAGAGGCCTTTGGAGGTCGGCAGTCCTGTGTGCGTGTGTGTGTGTGATTGTGTGTTGATGTGTGTGTTTGTGTATGTCTGTGTGTGTGTGTTTTTGTGGGTGTGTGTACGTATGTGTGTGTGCGTGTGCGTGTGAGCGTGTATGCGTGTGTGCGTGTGTGCGTGTGTGTGTGTGTGCGTGTGTGCGCATTTCTGCGTGTGTGCGTGTGTGCGTGTGTGCGTTTGCGTGTGCGTGTGTGCGTGTGTGCGTGTGGTTGTGTTTGTATGTGTGCTTGTGTTTGTGGTTGTGTGTATGCTCGTGTTTGTGTTTGTGCTTGTGTGTGTGGTTGTGGTTGTGGTTGTGGTTGTGGTTGTGGTTGTGTTTGTTTGTTTTCGTGTTTATGGTTGCGGTTGTGGTTGTGGTATGTTTGTTTTTGTGTTTGTGTTTGTGTTTGTGGTTGTGTGTGTGTGTGTGTTTGTGTTTGTGTGTGGTTGTGCCTGTTGTGTTTGTGTTTGTGTTTGTGTTTGTGTGTGTGGTTGTGTTTGTGTTTGTATGCATGTTTGCGCTTGTGGTTGTCGTTGTCGTTGTCGTTGTGTTTATGGTTGTGTTTGTGTTTGTGGTTGTGGTTGTGTTTGTTGTTGTGTTTGTGTTTGTCTTTGTCTTTGTGTTTGTGTTTGTGTTTGTGTTTGTGTTTGTGTGTACATGCGCGTGCGTGTGTGCGTGTGTGCGTGTTTGTGTTTGTGTGTGTTGTTTTTTTGTTCCGGGGAGCGGGACCCACCGCCCTACCGCTCGCTACAGAAGCAATCGCGGCAGAAGGTTGTTGGTTGTCGGGCCCGTGGGCCGTCGAAAAAGTGCTAGGGATGAAGAGCCAGCCACGGCAGGGGAACAGTCGAGCCCCTGGGATCAGGAACGGTCAACAGCTCGAGTTTGGAAGGGGCTCGCTCTTCCCTAGATCCTTCCATGGTTGTTCCTTGAGCCCTCCTCATGCACCCAGTCGCTTTTGAGGCCAAGAAGGGGCTGTGTTTCCTCTTCAGTTTCCCTTGTGGCAGTATCTGCACTATACAGCAGGCTTGCGCCGCGTCGACACAGCGGAGACGCCTGCGTGGGCGCTCAGGGTTGCACGCCCCCGGCAGCCTGAACTATGCCAACCTCCCACGATATTTGCCATCGCATTTTGGAGCCGGAACGAAACAAATCCCCCGCACCACGCGGATGCTCCAGGCCGCTCAAGTGGGGAGGGTTGGAGGATCGCGCCGCATCGCCAACGCGTCGACGATGCGGCGCAATCTGGAGTTCGGCTTCCTCTGCCAATGCATCGCAGATGATGCGCGATTCTCCGACCCCGTCTACGTACTCCGACCCCGTCCAGGCGACCTCCAAACCCGTCGGCGCCAGAATGTATGGGCAGCCACTGTTCACGTGCAATGCTCTCAGCGATCCCAAATCGGCAGGGGTGCGTTTTGCCAGAAAATAGGCACGGATCTAGCTCTGGCGACGAGAAGCCTCCTGGAGGTCAGTACCGGCAGAGAGCGCCAGAGCACCTCGATCCTCGACCCTCGATCCGTCGATGCCTGGAGGTACGGGCAGCCACTGCTCGCGTGCAATTTCTCAGCGTGCCAGCGCTTTTTCGGAGCCTGCCAACGCCACCGCCCCGCTGCTCCAAATTTTTCTTCTCTTCCTGCGGCCGCCGACTCGGCGTCGACGACAGACGACCTGTTCTTCTCTGGCAGACGGCTGCTGCCATTTTGCGCACAAAAGGCGCATCCTGCGAGGGGGGAAGTAGGGGAACAAACAATGACATAAACATAAGAACTCGGAGGTCCGCGCGGATTTCTCGGATCGGTGCTGGACCCCCCTCCCTGGCGCGCGGAGCGCGCCAAGGGCGGCGCCGGAGGCGCCGCCAGGGGGGGTCCAGCGCGGATCCGAGAAATCCGCCGGACCTCCGCGTTTTTTTGTTTATGTAACTTTTTGTTTCCCTAGGAAGAGGCAGCGCACTGCGAGGTCCGCACGGCCTTCTCGGCTCGGTTCCGGGCCTTTCCCCGCACCCCTTGGGCAGCGCCGTGGCGCGCTGCTCGCGCTTGGGGAGGGGGGGTTGTCGGGTGGGGGGTCTAGCGGTTCTGGGCCTCCCAGATGGGGTCGGAGTGGATGGGGTCGAAGGATTGCGCCGCATCGCCGATGCATCGACGATGCGGCTCGGTGTGGAGCCAGATGTTCTCCACACCGATGTCGTCGATGCATCGCTGGCGAAGCATTGGCGATGTGGCGCGACCCTCCGACCCCATCTACTCCGATCCCATCTAGGACCTAGGAGGCCTCTAGTCCATCGCCGATCCATGAAACCTGTGTGGAGCTCCCACAGTTCGTGTGCAGGTCGCAGTTTGCGTGCTGTTCTAGGGGTTCTCACGAAGAGGAGGAGGAGGACGACGACGAAAACCAGCACAACGTCTTGACAACGTCTAGCCTCCAGGGGGCCTCGTGGCCACGGCTGGACGCAGCTCGAGAACTTGCGGGATGGTAGTATCCAGGAGAGGGCCAGGCGAACAGGTCGGGCATCATTGTCGAAGACGCCCGCGGCATACCACCGCCGACCCCATCTAGGAGGCCTCTAGTCAATCGCCGATCCACGAAATCTGTGTGGATCTACCCGAGTTCGTGTGCAGGCCGTAGATTGCGTGTTGTTCTAGGGGTTCTCAGGAGGAGGAGGAGGAGGACGACGACGACGACGACGTCGACGATAAGCATTACGCGTTGCCCCCCCCTTCTGGAAACCCTTGGGGGTAACACCTGAGGGAGTAACAGAGAGGACGAGGATGTCCAGGAGGCGTCTGGGGACTTCCTGGGGGCCTCTTGCGAGCCTCTTGGGGGCTTCTTGGGGGCTCCTCGGGTCTCTTTGGCCATCTTAGGGCTCTCTTGGCCCGTCGCACGGCGTCTGAGACAGTCTAGGGGCCTCTCTGCAATGGGCCTCTTTGGGGCGCCGCAGGGCCGTTTTGGATGTCACTGGGGCCGTTTGGGGGGCCCTATTGCAGTCTTTAGGGCCTCTTGGCCCGTATCGGAGCTCTCTTGCGGGGTTCTGGGCCGTCTTGGGGCTATCTTGGAGGCTCTTGGGGACGCCTTCGATTGTCGAAGACCCGAAAAGGCGAGACCGTGAAAACTTGAGGAAAACTATATACATACATGTGCAGAGGGTGTAAACATATGTCTATATTTGTATACATTTATGTGTACATAGATTTGCAGTGCATATATGTGCATAGTTGAATGTGTATATATATATGCACATACATATAACATATACAGGCATATATCATGTCAGATCGGCCTGTATGTGTACACATATATATATATATATGGCTTTTTGGCAAATTCGGAATCTTGGGCGGACTGCTTACCGCCTTGGGGCCACCTTGGAGGTATATTGGGCATCTTGGATGCCTCCTGGACACTATTGAGCCGTCTTAGAAGCCATATTGGACCGTCGTGGGCCGTCTTGGAGGCCTTCTCGACCTACCGCCGTTTTGTCTCCCCGTGCCCGAGCTGGCTCGAGAGGCTGCGACCGTCGCATTCCAATGGCATGTCAGGTTTCTGTCTCGCGCACACCGCCCTGCCACCCTCGCGCGTATTATTGCGCCCTCAATTAGCCTCGGATTTTGCAGGCTGGCCGTCTCAGCTTCCTGTCCGACCATTTGTGCCGGCGCACCCTTTGCTGAAGTTTGATCGGACACGTGCCCCGAAAGCGATGTCATTTGGCCTTGGCGGCGGCGACAGCAGGCATCCTCCTCTTCCTCCTCTTCCTTTTCCTCCTTCACCACATCCCCTCCGCTCTCCTCCCACTCGCCGTTTGTCCCCCCGCCCAACCCCCCACCCCCGCGCCCCCATCTTTCCCCCTTCGCCTCGCGCACCCCTCCGCGGCCCCCCCGCCCCCGCCGCGCGCCTCCGAAGCTCGGTTTTTCTCGGGCGGGGCCCCGGCAAGGAGCAGACAGCCGCCCCGCGGCGCGCCGTAACCAGGCGGCGCCGACGACGCCGGCGACGATGTCAGGCGGCGTCGAGCCACGGGCTGGCGTCGAGGACATCGCATCGGCGATGTCGGGCGGCGACGCGCCACGGACGAGCGGCGACGACGCCGGCGACGACGACGCGCGTGGGGCGGGGCGACGTCGCCGCCAGCGTCGTTTCCAGGGCCGGGGGGGGGGGAGGCGCGGCGGCGTTTCCCTCGCCGCCGCTGTCGCCTGGCGCGCGCTGTGGGGGGGCGGGCTCAGGGCCGGGGGGCCTGGCGAGGGCCCCCCCTAGCAGCGCGGTGGCCGCACCGCGTGGTGAATCAGCGCAGATTCAGGGGGAACGCTTGCACCGTGTTGGGACCCGAAAGACGGCGGACGTCAGGTCGGTACGGCCGACACGGGTACGGAAAGAGCGGGAACGACGACTGACAACACTCGTTGACGGTGTCGCCGCGGACGCTGTCCGTTTCGGAGACCAAGGTCGCTTGCCCAATGGTGGGCGCTGCCGATTTTGGCCGTGCTGTTGGGTATCATACCCATGCTTTTCGTACCCATGTCGGGCTTGCTACTCCAGATTTCGTAATAAAGGGAGGGGGGTCTCATTTCGGGGGGGGGTCTCTTCCAGGCTATCTTGGAGGGCCTGGGGGGTCTGGGGACGATGTTTTGGAGGGTTCTCCCTCGGGGGAGGTCTGAAATGGCTTGTCTTCGAGGGTCCAGACCCCCTCCCTTCTATTACGAAATCTGGAGTAATCAGGGGCCGCCTGCATGGGGAGCACATCGACCCCCCAGTCGCAGCCCGTTCATCGCCGATCCGGGCCCCAGGCCCCACCCTGCCCAGGAGCGTGCGGAATCGAGATCGTTGGGCTGCCGCTGCGGAGAAACGGCGAGCTTCGATCGCACCCCGTCTTCCCGGCTTTCCCGCCTCTTTCCCCGCCATTCCCCCCCCTCCTTTTTCTTGCTGCCCCTTCCTCCGCCCCCCCCCCCCCCTCCTCCTCCTCCTCTCCTCCTCCTCTCCTCCTCCTCCTCCTCCTCCCCTCCTCCTCCTCCTCCTCCTCCTCCTCCTCCTCCTCGTGCTCCTCCTCTTCCTTCCTCCTCCCTCCTCCTCCTCCTCCTCCTCCTCCTCCTCCTCCTCCTCCTCCTCCTCCTCCTCGCTTCCCTCAGAGCTGGCGGACGCCTTCCGCGCCCGCGATCCTCGCCCGAAGAGGCCCGGCCGAGGAGTCCCCGGCGGGAGAGGCAGGGGAGAGCGGGTGGCCACGGCGGCTTCGGGTGTCTGTCGGGGGCGGCAACGAGGGGGGTGATGACTGGGGTTAGGTCGGGCCCGTCCCCCTACAGGAGGAACATCCAAAAATAGTCCCCCCCCCCCCCCAAAAAAATCGGGGGCGATGATTTGATGATTTTTGAGTATGTTAAGGGTATGTTTTGACTATTCTTGATTTTTCCTCCAAAATCGGCCTGTAGGGGGACAGGCCCGACCGAAGACTAGGGGGGAGCGGATATCATGGCGTGGGCCATGATACTTCCCCGGGTTTCATGGCGCCCATTCTTGCTTCATTGCGTCCCTGGCCCTCCCTCTGGGCCGCGCGCAGGCCGGCGGCCATGATGTGCATCCCCCCTTCCTGGACGCCCCCCTCTTGGCCGCCCCCGAGTCCGGGCGGGCCATCCCGCGCGCAGGCGGCGGAGGGCCTCGGAGAGTGGGGTGGCCGTCGCCCCCCCAATGGCGCCGGGATGGGGGCGGTCCCAGTCTGAAGCCCGCGGCCGAGCAAAAGAGAGAGAGAGAGAGACGTTGAAAGAAGAGAGACAGAGAAGCGGTTGGGAGAAATAGTGAAAGCTATATTTCTATATATATATATATATATATATATATATATATATATATATAGTAGTGGCCTTCGGCCAGTGCCGCCGATCCGGGTCGCTCGGGGTTATTCTCCAGACGCAGAAATTATGGGCGCACACTCAAACGCACACACACAGTCACACCACTTAACCTGCGCCGCAGACATGCGCACACAGCATCACCCACACACACATACTAGTTGGGAAACGCTCCTGTAGTACTAGTAGTAGTATTAGTAGTAGTAGTAGTAGTAGTAGTAGCAGTAGTAGTAGTAGTAGTAGTAGTAGTAGTGTAGTAGTAGTAGTAGTAGTGGTTGTGGTAGTAGTGGTAGTAGTAGTAGAGGCCTCGTTCCGCGGCTTCTCTCGACTTCCCGCGGTCTCTCTCAAGTTTCGAGCACGCGGTGAGTTTCACGATATATGTGTGTGTATGTACGCGTGCATGCATGTATGCATGCATTGATCATGTGTGCCTGTGTGTAGGTACGTATGTATGTATGTATGCTTGTGCGCGTATGTATGTATTTAGTTTGTATGTATGTTTGTATGTGTGTATGATAATATGTGTGTATGTGTGTGAATGTAAGTATGTATGTCTGGAAGATTGTTTTTCTATGTATGCAAATGTGTTTAAATGTAGGTATGTATGCATGTGTGTATGGATGTGCGTTTGAAGAGCGAGGATGTTTCAAAGAAGAGGCACTCGGTGACGCGATCGTTGAGGGATAGGAGTGAGGTCGCAGAGGAGGAGGAGGAGAATGAGGAAGAGGCGATAACTTGAAGGAAAACGATGAGACGGAGGACATCCTGCCGGTGGCGCCCTGGGCGGTGCCGCGGAAGAAACCGGGGGCCTGCCGGAGGCAGTCTGGAGGCCTCTGGGGAGCTGTTTTGGGGCCTCTTGGAACCTCTTTTGGGCCTCTTGTGGGCTTCTTGGGGCCCCTTGGGGGTCTCTTGGGGCCTCCTGGGGGCCTCTTGGGGCGGAAAGCTCGGTTCTTTCGGTTCGTGGTCCCCCTCTTGGGCCCCTCTTGGGGCTCTCTTGGGGCCTTCTTGGGCTGTCCAGAGGCCCTCTTGGGCCGTCTTGGGGCCCTCTTGGGCCGTCTTGGGGCTCTCTTGGGCCGTGTTGGAAGCATCGTGGGCCGTCTTGGGACGGACTTGGGGGCCTCTTGGGCCGTCTTCGAGCGTCGGACGCCCGAAAAGGCAAGAACGCTAAAAACCCTGAGAAAACCAATGAAAATCAACGATTCTGGCCTCTTGGGGCCCTCTTGGGAGGCCTCTTGGAAGCTTCTTGGGGCGTCTTGGAGACACCTTGGGCCGTCTGGAGGCCATCTCGGGCGTCTTGGAGCGATTTTTCGGCGACTCGGGGCCCTCTTGGAACCCCTTGGGGGTCTCTTGGGCCCCCCCCCTCCTCCAAAGCGCCGGAAAAAGCGGAGCATGGCGCCCCCCCCCCCCCTATCTTCCACTCCCCCGGAGCGGCCCCGGGGTTCGCCGGAAACTCGCACCCCCCCCCCCCCCCCACCCCCCCTTCCCCGGCAGAGCCACCCCGGCGACCCCCCCAGAGGCTGAAGCTCAGCCTCGAGGCTGTAGCTGAGACTCCTTGAAACTCACACGCCGGATCGGCGGATATATAGAGCGTGTGAGAGTGTGCGTGTGTGTGTGCGTGAGAAGGGGTCATGTTCCTCCCTCCCCGTCTCCCCTGATTCTTACATGTCCCTCGTGTTTGTTTCCTTTGCCTTCCTGTAGTTACGATGGGTTCGACTTGTGTTGGTGAGTTTTCGCGCCCAGCTTGTGACTGAATAGATGTGGCCCGTGGCCTTGTAAGTACTGATTGTTGTCATTGTTGTTCCCCTCTTCCTTCTCCCTCCCCCTGAACGCTTCCGCCTCGGACTTGATAGGATTATGGGGATACATTACATAAAACACGTCGCAGCATGGGCATTGCAGCTTCCTTTATTGAGTCGTTGTGCGAGGCCTCATTATACAAGTTGCCTATGGGACCATATGTAATTGATGCACACAGAGCCACTGTCCGTTATCGGCTCCACATCTTCCAAGTCTTTTTCTCCTCAGGTCTTGGTGACACTTGAATGGGCGCACTGTCTCGTGCCAGCTGCGACCGCTTAGAGTACCGCTGAGTTCTTCCCATCGCAGTGCGAATTGTTTCCCTCAGGCATGCGGGGGAGATGATGTGTGGTTGGGTCTTGATCGCGCGAGTGGGATAGCCCTCTTGAGGGGCAGCGGATTTCTAATGTCGACCTCTGCCCGCCCATGTCTTCCCGGGCCAGCCCGCAGAGGTACGGAAGCAGGATCTCGGCCCCTCGCTGTCGCCCGAGACCAGACCGAGTCATTCCTCCCACTCCTGGACCTCGTCCTTCTCGAAGCCTCGAAAACAACAACAGAGGGGAGTCAATAAACTTAGACGGGTGATGCATGGACCCCCAATCGGCCATTCATTGCTGATAGGGGCCCGATAGCCCCACCACACCCAGGAACGTGAGGATCTGCTATCGGGGGAGCCTATCGCTGATCCATCGGCGATGCATCGCCGATTCCAGGCCAATGTTGCGCCCCCTGCCCCTTATGCCAGTCCCGCCGATCTCATCCTCGGACTCCTGGCATCCGCCGACCCGGTTTTTTCAGTCCGAGGCCCCCGAGGTCCTTGCCACTTCCGTGGGGATGGGGGGGCAGCTCCTCGTCCTGGCTCTGTGTCTGATGGTCCCTGGAGCCCGAGATCGCCCAGACAGAGTCCTGTCGCCGTGGATCTGGACTACAGAGGAGGCCCATGCCAAGGAACGCCCCGCTCGCCTCCAGGGGTCCCCCGGGCTTCCTGGGTTCCGATGCTTTTGCCGTGGAGAGCGTGGCGCTCCCGGACCAAGAAATCGATGGACGCCAGAGGGCCTCGGGCTTTTGGGTGTCTCTCGTGGCAGGCTCCGTGTGGTCGGGCCCCCGATGCACTCCCCGCCCCCCCCGCGACAGCGGGAGCCCGCAGGCACCATGGCCAAGCACACCAAGAAGGTCGGCATCACCGGCAAGTACGGCACGCGCTACGGAGACAGCCCTCCGGGGGCCTGGCCCCGTCTCGGGAGCGGAAAAGAGGGGGGTGATGACTAGGTGGGGGTGGTTTCATGGCGCGGGCCATGACTTTTCCTCAGATTTCATGGCGCCTCTTCTTATTTCATTACGTCCCAGGCCCCCCCGCTGGGCCGCGCACATGCCGCCGGTCATGATTTGCACACCCCTCTTGGACACCCCCCTCTTGGCCGCTCCCGACCGTCGGCGCGGGGGCCGGACTTTGATCTCGGGGGACGGGAGGGGGGGAGGGCAGGAGGCAGGAGGCAGGAGGAGGAGGATCGGCAGCGTCGGGGGGGGGATCGGATTGTTCTGCCAGTTGTGTGTGGTCTTCGGAGGTCCTCGAAAGTGTTCGGAAGGTTTCGAGACCTGGGGTGGTTTCCATCGGCTGCGCATCGTCGAGGGCCTTCGGGGGTACCAGAATCGTCCCAAACGGCCGCTGGAGAGCCGAGCTATGGCCCGAAAACCACAGGGCGACGTCAGAGGGGGGGAGGCTGGTCCGGATGGGGAAGCATCGATCCCGAATCGCCCATTCATCGCCGATAGGGGCCCGACAGTTCCAGCCCCTCCCAGGAGCGTCTGGTTTTGCTGTCGGGGGCTTATCTCCGTTCTGTCGGTGATGTATCGCCGAGTCCAGCTTAATGTGCCCCCCGAGCTGGTCCGTTGCACCTCAGATGAGGAGGAGCAGGAGGAGGAGCAGGAGGAGGAGGAGGAGGAGGAGGCAGGAGAGGGTGGAGGAGGGGACAAGCTAGGTGCGCTCGCGCCATATCTGACATCCGATCCCTCGTCGGAACTGACACGCCAAGCGCCATTCCGAGCTCACCAGACACGCGGCCCCGACCGAGTCGCCTGTTGCCGCTGTTGGGACCGCCGCCTCACCGGCGGACGCCTGCAAGAGGCCGTTCTCGACGTCGCCACAATCGACCAACTCCGGACGCCACACTCACGTGGACTGGGCCGTGACTGGCGCAGGCTCGACCCACGCCCCGCGCAGGCAGGCCCGGTCCCGCAGGAGTGAGTGGCCTTGCGGCGGCGCAGATGGCCGTGAACACGCGGGCCCAGTACCCCCCCCCGAGGCGCAAGGCTCGTAGCTCGGCCCCACGGTCTTCGAGGCCGGGGGGCGGCCCTCTGAGGAGGCCGCCGCCGTCGTGCGGAGTTACGGGGGCGCCGTTGGTGACCAGAGGCGCTCAGAGCTCCTGAGCAGTCTCTGGCGCGAAATCTCCGTGGTGCGCCGCACGGGGAACGCAGAGATGCTCCTGAGCGCGCCAGGGCAGTAAGCCACCGCTGACCCCCCCCCCCACGCCCGCCACCACCACCACCACACGATTATCACCAGCACGACCAACACCTTCACGACCGCCGCCTCGACCACTGCACGGGCGCCTACCACGACCACTGTGACCTCCAGATCTCCCACGACCATCACGACCACGAACACGACCACTAGCACGACCACCACCGCGACCACTACGACGGCTTCGACCACGACCGCCGCGGGCTACCATCCCCCACGCCCACCGCGGGACGACCACCACCTGTGCGACTACCACCAGCTCGACCACTACCAACACGACCACAACCACCAGCACGACCTACACCAGCACGACCACCCCCACGACGATTTGACAACCGACCTCCGCCGCTCCTCCTCCTCCTCCTCCTCCTCCTCCTCCTCCTCCTCCTCCTCCTCCTCCTCCTCCTCCTCCTCCTCCTCCTCCTCTGCCCTGGCGCCGCCTTCGCCTGCGTTGTTTGTTTCGTACAGGCGTTCGCCTAAGGCGGCGTCTGTGTGACCAGCCGCGGTGGTGGTTTAGGCACCGTCCACCGACGCATGCTGTGTCTTTCCGTGCACCACGTTGGGGACGGGTGTTTCGGACATCGCTTCACTTCTCGAGTGGGAGCAGGAAGAAAAGAGGGAGGATACGAAAGGAGGAGGAGGACGAGGACGAACAGCACGAGTGGAAGGAGCAGGAGGAACAGGAGGGCCAGGGGGAGGCGGCGAAGGAAGAGAAAGGAGGGGAGCGACCACGAGAAGGAAGGATTCGGATCCAGACAAGTGGCCCGCGCTGGAGCGCCACTCTGAACGGCGGGAGAAGAGCGCGGACGCGGATCCTAAAGGGAGGCCCGCGCAGCAGCGGGAACACCACTACGAAACACCGAGATCTCTCCTATGGGGAAAAGCAATACGAAATATCAAAGAATGACATCCTGCGTGTAGGAAACGATACTCGGGGAGGGTGGGACATCGTCCGCACCGTCAGGGGAGAAGGGAGAGTAGTCCTCATGTTGACTCGTGGTGGAGGGAAAAGGACCTCGCGCTCCTCGGCGGTCTCCCTCGGTGAGGCTCCCAGCGCGGCCCCCCACCCACCCACCCCTCGTCCGCTCCCCTCGCCACGCCTTGGCATCGGAGGAAGGGGTCGGGCCCACCTGAACGTCCGAGCGCGCCGAGGGGGCAAGCGTGGAAGAGCAGAGGGCGCACGGCTCGAGGAGCGGGTAGTTCACGGACGGAAGAGCTCGGGCGAGTTGATCTACAGCGATCTCCGGGGAAATCTGAGGCAAGTCGTGGGCTCCCCAGCACGAGTCGAGGGGCAGTAGCAGTCGTTGAGCCCTCAACGATCGCGTAGGGGTACGACACCCGCTGCACCCAGCTGGTTTCGGCCCCGCCAGGGGGCTCCCAGTTGCCCCGGGAAGTAGCCGCTCCCGGCGCTCGGAAAAACCAGCCGCAGGGAGCTGCGAACCCTCCCGATTCGTCCGCCCCGAACCGTTCCGACGGCCTGGCCGAGGAGGGGTCCGAGTGGCCCTTGAAGGTGGCCCGAGCTCGAGAGAGATGCTTGGCGTCTTGCGAGGCCTTGTGTGGGGGACCTCCAGAGCAAGAGCGCCCTCGCGGCCGTGAAGTCACTCGCGCTTCGCGGTTCGGTCCCGGTTCCTCCTCGTCGTCCGCTCCTCCCGTGGGGACGGCGCGCGAGCGCGAAGTTCGTCGCGCTCCGCGCAGCGCGAGAGCGCGAAGGTGGGCGCCCCTGGCGGAGTCCCGAGGTGAGCCCCGGGGGTGCAGAGCCCGCCGTCTCGCCCAGGACCCTCCTGGACACCGGGGGCGCGGGGGACGAGGGGAGGAGAAGGAGGAGGAGGAGGAGGAGGAGGAGAAGGAGGAGGAGGAGACGGAGACGGAGACGGAGACGGAGGAGGAGGAGGAGACGGAGACGGAGACGGAGACGGAGGAGGAGGAGGAGGAGGAGGAGGAGGAGGAGGAGGAGGAGGAGGAGGAGGAGGAGGAGACGGAGGAGACGGAGGAGGAGGAGGTTGTTGGGGACGGGCCTGAAGCCGCTAATCCAAGATCAAACAAAATCGGAGGCGTCCGAATCGGTCTCCTCCTCGCGACGGGCCCTGGGACGCGCAAAGGCCTCGCCACGGTCTCTGACCCAAGCGAGGTCGGCTTCCACAAGCCCGAAAGAATCCAACACCTGCTCCCTGCAGGCGTACCCGCCCTGGGAGTCGAATTTACCTGAATGGCTGTCCCGCTGGGCCCCAGGACCTCCCGACATCAGCGCAACCGCCAGAGTCCGCCGCTCAACGAGGGAGAGGCCCACGTGGGGCCCAAGGAGCAGCCCCTTCAGGTCATGCTTATACGAGGGGAACTTCGACTGCCGAATTCTCCTCAACTGATCGCTGAGCCCTCCCGTGGCACCCGTCTTGGGTCTACAGGGGCCTTGCAATCCTTTCGAGGGGTTCCCCCCCGAGCAAAAGCTACCACACTTTACACAGAACTGAAGCCTCCCCTTGGTGTTCCCAACAGCATCCAAAACATTAGCCCCAAGCAGGGCATGGCCGTTGACGCGGAACACCAGGAGAGCAGACGATTCCCAATCCCCCAGGTCCTCCCCCTCCACCGAGGGCCGCCCGTCCTCGGCCATGGTCTGGCTGGAGAGGTCGGCTTCAGCAGCGGCGGCACCAGGCGCTGGGGGCGGAGTGGCCTCCAGGCCAGTCGTGTCCCTACCTGGCAGAGACGAGATGGCCACCTCGAGTTGGGCCGCCCACTTCCCAGCCTCCATGGCCAGGCTACGAAGGCCACGCCACAAATGCATATCGTCATCAGTCCGCCCATGCAGATCAACGCCAGCCTTGGCGAAGGTGTCAGCATGCTGATTCGCACGCTGCTCCCACGCCGTGGTGACCCCAGACTCCACGTCAGAGGCCGTCGCATGGGCCTTCGTCTTAAAGGCCTCAAAGTCCCCTTGGCCAAACGCGGACCAGAACGGGCCCCAGAGGTGACCCCTCGGCGCCCCAGGACCCACGGAGCACCCAGGACCGTTGGCCAAGGAATCCAGAGTTGACTGGCAGTCTATATACAATTGAAACGGGGGAAGACCAACTTGCGTCAGCATATATACAGCATAGTCCTCCCCATCCTTACTGGTCTGCTGGGGGGCGTCACTCACAGGAACAAGACCGTATACAGCCGATATCAGATTCCCAAACCGATCTACATTGCATATAGCCCACCCCGCTCTGGACATGCCCTCCAGGTTGGCCCACTTGGCGGACCCGTCGAGGAATAGAAGTCCTGAAAGCACACCTGCCGAGGGACGATTGTGCCACCGAGTGCTCTCAAAAGCCTCTGGGAGCTCGAACAGGGCCTGTGGGTCTGGAAATATCCCTCGAGCAGGTCTTTTACTCGTGCTGCACATTGCTTCAGCCTGTGTCCTACGTGATCTCTGCGGAGATGCTCGTGAGCAGGACACTCGTACTGACGGTGCCACAGCGTACCAGGTGCTCCTCGACAGAGCTGACAAAGGTGGTCTGGATGGAGCCCATGACTGCACAGCCTCGCCTGAGGCCAGAGGACACCTGAAACCAGACCTCGGAGACACCTCTGGTGATGCTTCGTCCAAGATGCACCGTTGCTTTTCGTCAGCTTCCGAATGCCACTCCAGAAGATGGGGACCAGCGGGGGGCCCATTCGGGCCGTTCTGGGTGCTGAGGGCATGTCGATCAGATTCCCGAGAAGCTCCTTGTCTTACCACACCTCGGATTTGCATCGGGGACAACTGCAACAGGTTAGACTCGACTCCGAGGTCTGACACGATGTGGGTGCTGTCCTGAAAGTCCCAGCCTATGCCCCTGAGACCGAGCAGGGCCACATCCGAAGGTGATGCACAGCTGCGCCAAGGATGATCCATCTTAGACAACTTAAGACGGCTACCCTGCATCGTATTGGCCAGTACTTGCGCATTCGGGACCGCCTCCCAGACCGCCGTAGCCCACATGAATAGCACATGCCCCACATACACAATCAAAGGGTCTATATTGGGCCCCAGGTCGTAGGTGTACATCCTGAGCCCCACAGAGGCCCCTCGCAGTAGGCGCCCCAAAGACGATACAGCTGACACTCGGAGCCTTGCCATTCGAGTCGGCGCGATGCCCGATACGCTGTAGCCCCATAATGCCATTGCAGTGGGCCCCATACGATGCACCACGGATATATCTGCACCTGCGCTGTAAAATCTTCAGCCGACTGGCTCTGGACGACGCCTTCGAAAGCCGAGTGTTCTGAATGCTGATCCTCCGAACTCCTCCAAGAGTAGCGTTAGTCCCAAGGTTCCTGGTCGAATCAGTTCTGCATGTCGCAGGCAGTGTCCAGAGCCCGCGCAGATGCTGATCCACCTCCCTGGTGCAGAGGTAGGCGCACTTCTTAAACTCGACTGGGAGCTGCAACTCCTTAAATGACTTGAACAGCGACTCCACTCCTCCTGCCAGCTGCGTGGCGACCTGGAGCTTTGGCCCACATGTCTGCAATGTGATATCATCCACGACGTTACGCATATACAACAGGTGCCTGTGCTCACGTGCCTCCAGCAACGGACCTAGCAGCAGCATCTTGGCGAAGGTGGTCGCTCCTGAGCAACCTGCCACTACTGTACCGTTCGCGCAAAGTACCTCCGAGGCTGCCCCACCGTAAAGGAGCACGCGGAAGCCAGCGTAGATACAGCAGTACCTTCGCAAAACTCTGACAGGAAAGTGAAACCTCTTGGCAGCAAGCAAGTGCTCGTGAACCACATTCTCGTAAAACTTGGCTAAGTCCAGGAGGGCCGATGCCGAGACGAACCCCGAGGCCTTACAGTGGGCTCCCAAGAGGTTGTGGACCCACCCAGCTCGCTCACACGTCGTGTCAGGTCCTGATCCCCAGAAGAACTGGAACACGTGCGATTTCTCCCAAGCCTCACAATATGGCTGCCTCAGGCGACTCCAGAGCTTCATGAAGAAACATAACAGCCCAATATGCCGTACTCCGCCCGTCGGTTTGTCCAAGAAAACCACATTGGTCAGGAACATGAGTACCGAGGTAGGCTCAACCTCGAACACCGTTAAGATCTCCAGGAGGCGCATCTGGTGACTCTCGGGCAACTGCAAGACCCACCTCGGGTGAAAACCATCCCAGCCTAATCCAGCACCTGGACTATACTTGCGGCACACTCGCAGCAAGTCTGAGAGCCGAAGGGGGGCGAGGTCAGGTTCGTCTGGTGGTATTTCCCAAGTGGAGGGGTGATGCCCACGACCGTCGACTTGCCACAAGGGGGCCCACTGATGCAATAAACGACGCAGCGCGGCCTGTCCAGCCACTGGAAGATCTTCGCCGTCGCCGCCACGCCCAGACAGACACGACACCTGCTGTTTCGAAAAAGCGTGGGCGGCCTTGCCCCCTCCAGCTACAGCCTTCTTGGCCCAGGTCTTCCACTTGGCCATTTGTTCCGCCGCGTCCAGCTTTTGACGACGAGCAACCTCAGTGTCCAGCGCCTCCAAGGTCCCGTCCTCAAAGGTCCCCGAACTGGTTGCCAAGACGACCATCCCCTGGAGAGAAGTCTTGCTCACGTTGCCGTCCTGGAAATCCAAGTCCTGGATGATAGCCTAAAGAGGAGACGGAGGAGGAGGAGGAGGAGGAGGAGGAGGGGGGGGAGGCTCGCCGAGGGAGGTCGCCAAGAGGGGCTGTTGAGGTCTCCGCCCTCAGAGAGCCCGCCGCCCCCTCCCGGCGCCTCCTCGCCCTCCCGACTTCTCTTCCCGCCTTTTCTCCGGAGGGGGGGCACGCCCCACCTCTGAGAGCAGGGACTGCAAGCTTGAAGTCGGGCGTGCCCCTATACAGAATTGAGATGTAAAAATGGTGTTACAAAGAGGTAGTCTGGGGACGATTGTTTCAGTACGCTTGACCATTTGGGGATATCGTTTGAATAGTTCTGTATGGTTCGTCCAAAATCCACCTGTAGGAGGACATGCCCGACCTAATGCAGGCTCTGCCACGGCAGGCTTTTCATAGGCCAGACTTTTTTCCTCCACGCACGTCACGGCACTCGAGTCTTGAGATTTGCGTCCTCCCACCTCGGGCACCCCTCCACTCCTGCACTGGAGCGCAGCAGGGAGGTGCCCCCTCCTCTCCACCCCTCATCGCTCCCTTCTCCCCCCCCTGCGAACGGAACACCGTGCCAGGAGCCTCGCTGAGGAAGATCGTCAAGAGGTACGAGATCCAGCAGCGCACGAAGTACATGTGCAACTTCTGCGGCAAGGACAGCGGCGCCTCGGCTAGCAATGTTGTCGTCCTGTCTGATGCACCGCCGCCCTCCAGGAGGTGGTCGGAGATAGGAGGATAGGACGAGGAGCAGGAGGAGGAGGAGGAGAAGGAGGAGGAGGAGCATGTCGACGACGAGGATGACGAGGAGATGACAGGAGGGGTCGAAAGGGGAGGAGGAGGAGGAGAAGAGGAGGAGAAGGAGAAGGCGAAGGAGGAGAAGACCGACGACGACAACAATGACGACGTGCAGGAGGCAGGGTGCTGCAGGGCGCGGCACGTCGGGGAGCGGCACGGCGCGGTGCAGTACGACGCTGCACTGCGCACACCGTGCGCCTGGTGTGCGCTGCGGCACGCGTCGTGTGGCACGGCGCCGTCCTGCCCTGTGCACGGTGCGTGTGCGGCGTGGGGCGGCACGGCACGGCGTGCGGCAGCACAGCGCAGCATCGTGTCGGTGACAGTTCGGAGGGCCGCCCCCCCCGTCAGGGAGGCGCAGCTGGAGGCGGAGGCCCCAGGGCTCCCTGCGTCGTGCAAGAGGAAGTGGCAGGAGGTGTTGGGCTGCTTCGTAATGTGGGGGGGGCCGCCTGTGCCGAGCCCCCAGGCCGCCAGGAGACGGCTTAGGACGAAAAAAGCGGGCCCAGGGGAAGGTCGAGACTTCAAGGGGGGTCCGCCCAAGGAAGAGACCACGACGTCGGAGGTCTGAGAAGGCGGATAGAGGGGTACAGGCAACCATTATTGGCCGCTTTCGCTGGCCGCGCCCCGCTCGCAAGGTGTCGACATGGCCTTCCAAGGCCCGTGCATCCTTATCGCGCATCCTTATGATGTGGGTTGACTGTGCGGGCAGGAGGAAAGTGATAGTTTGGAGGAGCAGAACGATGAGCAGGAGCAACAAGTCAAGAAGATATGCTCATCGGAGTTCCACGGCTGTGAGGTGGCGAGTAGCTCACTGGCTCACGTCCCTTAGTACATGCGGTTGGCTTCGGCTGCCAGCGTCTTGTTATTGGTGATTCCCTTTGCGCCTGCTCGTTGCACGAGGAGAACGTCAAGCGAGTTGCCGGGGGGATCTGGAAGTGCAAGTCGAAGCAGGCCGCTGCGCCGTGTTGCGGCAGTTGTTTGGTGTCCCGATGTGTGCACGTGTGTGTTGTCGGCATTTCGCGCCGCATCGTTTGTTGCTGTCTATATAGTTGTTGTTTGTTGCTTATCTCTCTCCTTCTCTATATTTCTCTATCGGTTGCGTCTGTGTCTCTCCTTCTCTCTCTCTCTCTCTCTCTCTCTCCCTCTTTTCCTTTCGCTGATGTGACAGTCACTTCTCGCCTTCTTCACACATCCTGTTCATGTGGCATACACCGGATGCCTGAGGCCATATCGATAGTTGACCACTTACGCTGCGAGTAGTTACCGACTCTATTGCTCCGCACCTCTCGTTGTCTTGCTCATCTGCAGTTGAGCCACCTTGAGGACGGGGCAGGGTGGAAGAGGGAGGCAGATTGGCACTTCCTATGTGCATCATCATTGCCATCAGCTCTCGTCCCGGCATGCTTCCTCGGTTGGACGGCACAACCCACGTTCAACACTTGCAGTCGTTGAGGACGGGGTGGCGGCAGAGAAAGATGAGGAGGATGCGGAGGAGGGGGAAGGGAAGAATGAAGGGGAGGAGGAAGCTGCTCCGCCGCCCGAGTTCCTCCCTCCTCCTCCTCCTCCTCCTCATCCGGTCTACTCCTGACCCAACAATGTATACATATATATATATATGTATATATGTGTGTATGTTTACATATAGTCCTTGGGTACGAGCGATATATGTATATATAGTCATGTGTATGTCACTCCTCTTGCGTAACCACATGCTCCTCGTTGTCCTCGCATGTTATGTTGCTGATCCTTCGACGTGCTGCTGATGCTAGCCCTCCTCCTCCTTTACGCTCATCCCTCTTCCTGCATGCACCCCTCGCCCCTACGAACGACTCCTCGGCACTTCAGCAGGCAGGTCTGCAGTGTGGCCTGCAGTGTGGGGGGCTGAATTATCCGGCACGTGCACGGGTGAAGGCAGCCTCCAGTGAGATCCAAGAGAGGCCCCGCAGTCAAGACGCTGAAACAAGGGCCGCGTTGGGCTCGGAAGGGGCCCGCTGTTCCTCGGGTAATGCCGCGGCTATTCCTCTGGCCCTCTTCGGGCACGCAGGCGCTTTTGGGACCGAAGAGGGGATTCGTTCTCTATTGATCGTTCCTTGTTTCGGCGGCCCGACTGCAGAAGGCCACAGACAGCGCCAGGACGGCCCAACGCTGTCCGGAGAGAGCCCCAAGACGCGCGAAGGCGACCCAAGACCCCCCAGAATCACCCAAGTGGCCCTCGAGGCGGTCCACATGGTCGCCCCGAGACAGCCCCCAGATTCTGCAAGAAGAGCCTCACAAGACCCTTGCGTTCCAATTGTAAGAAGCCGCCACGAAGCTCTTTATGATAAAAAGAGCGCCGTAAGCTCGAGGCCAGCAAGCTGCCGCTGCAGCGCGAGCTCGGCCCCGTGCTTGGCGATCTCCCGGCGGCCCCTGCAGAGGTCGTTCGTGAGGCCAGGGAGCCGGCCACGCTGGCCGAGAAGGGCGCCGGCGTGCGACCTGTGGACCTTCGCTGGGCTGGGCGGGCGGCCGTGCCGTGGGCGCCAGAGCAGACCGACGCCCACACCCGCTGCCTCGAGGGGTTGCTCCGCATGCTGCCAGAGTCAGGAGGGGAAAAAACACAGACACAATTAATCGACGATTCCCCAGAAAATATAGGAAAATATGGGAAGTGGGGGGGGAGGCAAAAACCCAGAAAATATTGGGAAATATGGGGAATCCTTTTATTTGTGTGTATTATTTGTGTCCTGGTGTCCCTTCACAGAGGGCCGCAACGCGCGCGGAGTGCGCCAAGGCGGCAACAGGTTCGCCGGTGCAAGTGACGGCACACATCAGGCAGTATGTCGTCAGCCCCGTGCCCTGTCAAAGTCAATGGAGAGTTGCGGCGGGGGAGGGGGAGGATGGGAACGGGGGAGGGAAGGGGGATGGAAAGAGGCAGAAGCGGAGGGAGGACGGGAGCGAGGAGGAGAGGGGGAGGGGGGGAATTAGGGAGGAAGAGAAGAGGAGGAAGATACGATGTGATCGGGAGGGGGGAAATGGAGAAGAGGAGGGGAGGAGGAGGAGGAGGAGAGGAGAGGAGGGAGGAGGAGTAAGGATGAGGAGGAGACAGAAGAAGAGGAAGGAGGAGGAGGAGGAGGAGGAGGAGGAAGAGGCCCTCCTCTTCCCCTCATCCCCCTCTGCCTGCCCTGCCAGTGCCGAAAGACAATCGCCGGCGGATGCTGGGCCATCTCCACCACGGCTGCGGCGACAACCCGCGCCACGATCAACCGCTTGAAGAAGGCCCCGCTCGCAGTGCCTGCGCCGCCGCCCGGGGCCCGCCTCCTCCGCCTCTCTCATCCCTCCTCCCTCCTCCCTCCTACCTCATTCCTCCTCCTCCTCCTCCTCCTCCTCCTCCTCGTCCTCCTCCTCCTCCTCCACGTCCTCCCCCTCCTCGCCTTCCCTCCCGACAAGGCGCGAGTGTTCAGACCGACCGACGGCTCACCAGTGGCCCAAGGTTTCAAGTCGTTCCGGGGAGGCCCGTTGGGGGCTTGCCGTATTTCAAGCCATCGCTTCACGATTGATCTCGCCCCTTCTTCCTCACACACCGGGCGTTTTTGGTTCACATCCAAGCGTTTTCCTTCCCTGCCCCAAGCGTCACGAATTTACCACAGGGCGTGTTCGCCCGAATTCATGCCAGGCCCCAGTGTCCACACGCATCGATCTGGCTCGAGACTCACGCTTCAGAAAGTTTGGGTCCAGGGTTTTGGCCGTTATTTTGCGCACGATGGTTCAATCTTTTCCGCAGCGTCGGAACCCAGGGTTTCATCCACCCTCCCTCCCCTCCTCTTCGAGAGCCTACTGTACTCATCGCTGCAGCCGCTCTGGACCAGGGGCGGCTGGTCTATAGCAGTGGCAGCTGTGGCTGGCCCACCCTCCCTGGGCTCCAACAGAAGACTCTGGCGCCCCAGCCCCGTTCAGGAGCAGCGTAAAGCGGGGGGATCACCGTGTGCTTGCGCGGATCAATCCCTCCCGCCGTAAGGCCTTCCTGTAAATTCTACATATCTTTCTATTGCGTCAAAGCGGTCTTGTACCCTCGGCGAGGGGTGCCTGAAACGCATCGCTTGGTTATGTGTCCGTTGTCGGAAATTGGTATGTTTCCCGCTTGTTTCCGAGCGCTCTTCGGGGCCAAGGAGATGGCCGGTGCCTAAGATCCGCTGATGCGTGCCAAACGGTTTGTTTCCCACGGCGGCGCTGGCTGGATCGATGCTGACAGCAGCAAGTGCACACCGCATGATAGTCTTGGGGTCGGATGGTGGGTCGTTGTGTGAAGATCTGCCGATCCCCACCACATCGTACAATATCGTTCGCACAGGATGGTGAGGGTTGGGGCAAGATAGGACAATGTTGGTACCATGCAGAGGGCACGATCCGCTGTCGGGCACACGGACTGTGGGGATTGTTCGGAAGAGCCGACGTGCACCGCATACCTTTTTAGCATAGCATCCCGGGGGGGGTCGAATCAGGATGTGCACGATCCGTGTGTGGGCACAAGGGCCGTATAGGTTGGGCAGGTGCGACGATCAGAAGATATTGACGCCATAAAACTCGCGGTATAGATATGGCCCCAGATGAAAAACGATCTTGCGATAGGCCGATGTGCATTGCGTCCGGTTTCTTGCAGCGGATCGCAAAAAGCGGTCGCTTCCCCGGTCAGTCTGGACCCGGTCGGCGATTGGTCGGGGGGAACCAGAAAGGTTATATCTCACATGCCATAAACCCCGCCCTGGGGGGTTCCTTGCCGAAGACGACCAGGGGCCACAACTATACGTGAAGTGCCCTCTTCCACCCCGTGGCCTCCCCAGCGTTTCCCTAGAGCCTTCCCAGAGCTTCCCCAGACCCGCCGGAGCCTCGTCCCAAATGGGCCCCGGACGGGCCCACGTGGTTTCCGAAGGGCCCAAAATTTCATCAAGATGGCCCAAGAGGCCCCCAAGAAACCCCAAGACAGCTCCAAGAAAACCCCCAAGAGGGCCCGAAAAGAAAAAGAAACAGGCAGGCCCCCAAGGACTCCCTGAGAGGAGCCCCGGAGGACCCACGAGGCCCAAAATAGGACCCGAAAGGCGCCCCAAGAGGCTTTCAAACTGTCTCCAACAGGCTGCCCAAAGGCTTATTCCAGAGGTCTCAGGCGGCCCCTGTAGAGACTACAAACTACAAGATACTTATTGCACGCCTCAAATCCAAGACACAGGTATGCAAACACTCTCCCCCATCACTCGAAGAGGGGGAGCGGGAGGAGGACGAGGGGGAGGACGAGGAGGAGGAGGAGGAGGAGGAGGAGGAGGGGAGGAGGAGGAGGGGGTAGAAAACGCTACTGGCTAGATCCTTAAGTTGGGCGAACGTAAAAGGAGGAGGAGGAGGAGGAAGGAGGAGGAGGAGGAGGAGGAGAAGGAGGAGGAAGGAGGAGGAGGAGGGGGAGGAGGAGGAGGAGGAGGAGGAGGAAGAAGGAGGAGGAGGGGCAGGAGGGGCAGGAGGGGCACGAGTTCCCTTTAGGGCAAGGGGATAGAGGAGAAGGAGGAGGAGGAGGAAGAGGAGGAGGAGGAGGGGACAACGACGAGGCGGAGGAGGAAGAGGAATCCCCCGCCCCTCGAGGCGATGGCCTCTGGAGACGACAAGTGAGCGCGGAGCAGGGCGCGGATCAGAGCGGTGCCCGCCGAGAAGTCCCGAGGAGGCAGGCGCGCGCTGCGCGGCGAAGAACCGCAGAGGAGGGCCAGAGGGGGGAGGAGTGCGAGGCCTTCAGACTGGCACCAACACCAACACAGCTGACAAACCTATACCAAGGGCGCCCTCAAGGGCGCGAACTTACTCGCGCTTCGCGGTTTGGCTCCGATTACTTCTCATCCTCCTCTTCTCCCTTGGGGAGCGGCGCAAGAGCGCGAAGTCATTCGCCACAGCGCGAAGCGCGAAGCTAGGCGCCCGTGCATACCCATACGGAGGTCGGAGGGAGGAGGATTTGCTATGGGTACGGGTGCGGGTTGTCCGAATCTGGGGAGGTTCCCGTTCGAGCGGGGACCCCCATCCGACGCCACGCACCCATAGCCCCCGCCGCCCCCCCCCCCCTACGGGTGTGCGTCATCCGTTCGTCAACACTACTGAGGGAAGATGATCCTAGATTTTGGCGTTCGTGATATCTCTTCGGCCACCAAGCCCGAAGATTGCAGCCATCACCTGGATCGGGATCATCTTCCCTCGGTGGAAACAACCGTCGATATTGGGGCTGGCATCTCTGAGCCTCCCCCAGGAGGACGAGCAGGAGGGGCGGGACAGAGGTAGAGCGTTCCTGCATCGCCTGAGTTGTGTTTTATGCTTCCTCCTGGTGGCCAGCTTGTTGACGCTGCGGTTTGTCTTGCCAAAGTCGGCGCAGCTTCAAAGAGGTGGGGCGGGAGGGGGAGTCCGGGAGGCCCCGACGTTCAGGCGCGGATTGGCCAGGCTCGCGGCGATAGCTTGATAGGGGACATCGGGGACGGGCCCTTGCGTTACGTGCGGGGATTGATGGTGATGATGATTATGACGACGACGATGGTGATGGTGATGGTGATGGTGATGGTGATGGTGATGGTGATGATGATGATGATGATGATGATGATGATGTTGATGATGTTGATGTTGATGTTGATGGTTGTGATGATGATCATGATCATGATCGTAATGATGGTGATCATGATGATGATGAGTGTGATGCTGATCATGATAATGAGGATGATTATGATGGTGATGGTGATGATGGTGATGCTGGCGATGCTGGAGGTGGTAATGATTATGCTGATCGTCATCATCAGCAGCATCATCATCCTTTACATCATCGTCATCATGGTGATGGTGACAGTGAAAAGGCCGCCGCGAGCTCGAGCCATCGGAGGCGCAGCGGCCTCAGAAGACGCGCCCCCCCTTGCTTTCGCAGTCTGCAGAGGGCCAAGCACCCCACCCGCGCAGGGCGACGTGCACCGGTGCGTGTCGAGTCCGACGTGAAGAAGGGCAATCGGCCTTGTTCGACCGCAACATCACGAGCAGCCGCGCCATGATATGCACCGCGTTGATCCTCAGAATCGGGAACAACCAGGGGATGGGTGACGTCGGCTACGACAAGAGCTACGACATCTATGCGCCTGTTCGACGGGCCTGGCCTGGTGGTCGACACCATCATCAAACCGAACATCTCCCGCGAGACGCTGCAGCAGAACAAGATTTTGCGAGGGATCAAGAAGAATCTCGTCAAGAAGTGCCTCGAGATGTTTGCGGAGATCGCCGAGAAGAAGGATGACTACAAGAAGTTCCACGAGCAGTTCGGCAAGCGCCTCAAGCTTGGATCCTCGCCTTTCCTGAAAACGCTGCGCAAGAAGGGTCTTGAGGTCCTCTACATGACTGATCCCATCGATGAGTACTCCGTGCAGCAGCTGAAGGAGTTCGACGGCAAGAAGCTCAAGTCGACGACCAAGGAAGGTTTGGACCTCGAGGACGAGGACGAGAAGAAGAAGTTGGAGGAGCTGAGGGCGGAGTTCGAGCCGCTGACGAAGCTGATGAAGGAGGTGCTGGGCGACAAGGCGGAGAAGGTGGCTGTCAGTTCGCGCATGGCCTTCCGCGTGCCCACCATCGACGTGTCGGTCGTGGACCTCACCTGTGAGCTGGAGAAGGCGACGACCTACGAGGAGATCCGCGCCGAGATCAAGAGGCGCTCCGAGGGCGACATGAAGGGATACTTGGGCTACTGCGACGAGGCTCTCGTGTCCACCGACTTCGAGACGCGCCCCATCTCCAGCACCTTCGATTCCAAGGCGGGCATCATGCTGGACCCCACGTTCGTGAAGCTCGCGGCCTGGTACGACAACGAGTGGGGCTATTCGTGCCGTGTCGCTGACCCGATCAAGCACATGGCCAAGGTCGACGGGGCGTAGGATGTAGGATGGTGCCCGCCGCATCCTCACTGTGCAGTCGCTGTCCCAGCTGCGGGCCTACGCAGATCGCAGGGCGCATCCACCGCATGCCTGCCCCGTCTTGAGGAGATCGTGGGCGCCGCCAACGAGGCATCGAAGATGCCACGGCCATATTTGCATCTTTTTTACGTTAAGTGACTCGGGCACCCGCTCGCCTGCGTGTAATGGAGCTTTGAATTACTTGCGACTCGGACCGGCCACCGCCAGTCTTTCGTAAGCACCCGCCCGCATGCAAGCTAGATACACGGTCTCTGGCTGTGCGTCGAAGCACCCCGAGTGCATTCGCCCCACGCGGGTTAATCGGGACATGACTCTGTTATGCTCTCTGCGACGGACCACCAATTGCATACTTGGTCCTGATGTCGAGGAAAAAATGGTGACAGTGATGGTTGTGATGGTGATGACGATGATGATGATGGTGGTGGTGGTGGTGATGATGGTGATGTTGATGGTGATGGTGGTGGTGGTGATGGCGATGGTGATGGTGATGGTGATGGCGATGATGGCGATGATGATCATGATGATGGTGGTGGTGGTTGTGATGGTGGTCGTGATGATGATGACGATGATGATAAGGAGATGGGGTGGAAGAGGAAGAAGATCAGGAGTAGGGCCGTTCGAGATTCGAGGTTTGATGATAAGGAGGAGGAGGAGGATAGATAGATAGATAGATAGTTCGAAATTCAACTTTTGGCAGGCGTTTCTGTTCGCCCTTCCGTTTGGAGAGGGATTCCAGGGGGTCCTGGTCGCCACGCTTCGAAATCCTGGCCAGAACGCACCCTCAGAGGAGGAGGAGGAGGAGGAGGAGGAGGAGGAGGAGGAGGACGAGGAGGAGGAGGAGGAGGAGGAGGAGGAGGAGGAGGAGGAGGGTGAGGGGGCCAAGCTAGGTACGGTCGCGCCACATCTGACATCCTATCCCTCCCTCCCATCTCTTCCGGTTGCGAAGATTGTTTCTCTATCTGCGGACGCGTGTCATAGCCGACCTGGAATGTCAAAAGAGAGCCCATCTTGTTCTGCGCAATCCGAAAAGGGCATCTGCATACATAGGAGGAGGAGGAGAAGGAGGAGGACGATGAGGAGGAGGAGGACGAGGATGAGGTGGTGGGTGAGCCGAGGGATGAGCGGGAGTAAAATCAGGAGAAGGAAGGAGGAGGACGACGACGAACAGCAGCAACAGGAATTGGAGTGGCAGAAGCGGGAGGAGCAGGAGGACTGGGAGGCGGAGGAGGGGAAATGAGGGCGGCGACAACGATGGACAAGGAGTCAGATCCACAAAAGTGACCTGCGCTGGGGCGAGAGTGCCATTCTGAACAACGGGAGCCAATCTCCGAGTTTAAAATGAGGCCCAAGTTGCAGCGGGAGCATCATTTCGAAACACCGAAATCAATCATAGCGTCACAAAAGACAGTATGCAAAAAATACGCGTTGGAATCCTGCGTGCGGAAACAGTACGCGGAGAGGGCCGGACATCTCCCGGACAGGGTCAGGGGACAGAGGAAAAAATAGAATTGCAATCATAATGTGTAGTTGTGGGGCAGGAGTTGGAGAAGGTGGAGGAGGGGGTGAAGGGGGAGGAGGAGGAGGAGGAGGAGGAGGAGGAGGCAAAGGAGGTGAGCAGGAGGGGGAGGAGGAGGAGGAGGGGGCGAGGATGGTGAGGACCAGGAATGGTGTGGGGAGGGAGACAAAGAGGAGGGACGGGACAGCGGTTAGAGCATACTTACACCCCCATTGCACATCGCTTGAGTCGGTATTTTGATTGGTTTCTGCATGTGGGCAGTTTGCTGACGTTGCGGCCCACCAACGCCAGTGCAAGGTCGCAATGGAGGGGCTGGAGGGGGAGGTTCGGACACTCGGACGCCGATGCGTCAGGCCTGCGGAGGAAAGTCGGGGACTGGCCTTTGGGCTACGTGCGGGGATGATAAAGGAGAGGAAAAGACAAGACGCGAGTTTAGTAATTCGAGGTTCCAGGTTTCGGGTTCGTTTTTTTTGTTGGGGGGTCACGGATTCAATAATTGAGCAGCAGTTTCATTGATGAAGAATGGTTTCCAGAATTTCGGCCGTTGATTTGAATAACAACGATGGTTGGTTTCAATAATTGCTCATTGGTTTCATTTGTGACGAGGTTGTGACGAGGTTTCGATAATTTCGGCATTTGGTTTCAACAATTGTGAACAATGGTTTCATAATTACAGACATTGGTTGCAACACCTTTGGATATGTTGTTTTTTTCTACTAACTATCTACCGGTTTCAAATTAATGATGTTGTATGTGTGTTGTTGTTCTGGTGTTCCTCGTGTTTTTTGGTCTGAATACGCGTTTATTTTTTATTCGATAAACCCCACCCACTTTGTGAGACCGCACCGCGTACGAAAACAATTTGATTCGATTATGGCAAAATTCCACAATTCTCGTTTAAGTAATTCAGGTCGACAGAGAGATCGGTTGCGCAGGAAGTTTAGACATGTGGCCGCAACGTTGAACGGTATTTATTAGGCATGTGCAGTATTTGTCTTACTTGACGGTGATATTTCAAGTTCGTGTTGTGATGCGTCAGTTATATTTTATGTAGTGCAAGGTGGGCTCCCGTGTGTAGGAACATATTCGAATTTGCAGATATCTCAGAAACGCAAAATTTGATAAAATAGCCTTTTGCCCATTATGAAGTTCACGTATTAACGCTGGAACGGTTAAGCTCGGCGTCCTCGCTTGTTTTCCTTATGGTAAATCGGTATCCCGGCATTGTACAAAACAACTCGGCGGCACGGTTTAAAGCAGTCAGAACCATTATTAGTCATTGTTCGTGATAGTGGTTGTTGTTCGTCACATGTTCGTTTCCCGAAACAAAACAGTTTCGTCCGCTATTTCGCTACAAGTGGATCTTTTCCAATGAAGACGACATGTTTCGGATATACCGCATACCGTTATTCGGAAAATAACACGTAATAAAGCGAATTGGAAAAACGGAAATAAAGGATAAGATGAAGAGGACGAAAGAAAATTACGGTAGGTTTGCGTCGTGTCGACCAGCGGCGACCCCAGCGCGGGCGTTCAAGGTTGAACGCCGCCGGCGGCCCAGAATCGGTCGATGTTGAACGATCGGACGTTGCGGAGACGGCCGATCATTTAAGGTTGAACGATCCAGCGCGGTGTCAGGAACCAACGCCAGGGTCGACACTGCACGGACCTGCAGTAGTGAACAACAGAAAGAAAAAAATCATGCAACAATACAAAAATTATATATTTATTACCAACAGTGACAAATTAGTATTAAATCTTGGGGCGACCGCTGTTGTTAGGAAAAACAAACAAAAACAAAAAAAACAAAAAACACATCACTTTCAGAAAAAATGCCGTTTCACAGCGTAATAACCGTGTCAGAAGAAAACGATCGCCGTTGCATGAAAAAAACGGTAGCCATTTCAAGAAAAAA